GATTAACTGAATTATTTGGGATTCAATTCAGGAGTTTTTTGACTTTGTATTCTCTAAATTACACGAACTGCAGTTTGTTTACAATTTACATTATTTCTTAATTGAGTCTTACTTGAATGATTAATTTAAGAACGAACAGTTTTTATTCATAAAGCATTGATTTTTGATTTTGTAGGGAAGTGGCGAAGAGTTCAGCACGAAACTGCGTTACCACCTGAGCTGATAATATAGTTTCGTGCTAATTTGAAAAATTGTCATAAGGGTTCGTACGTAATGGCGTTGTTGTCATTGCTGCTGGGTTCACCTCATGCCGAAATGGGCCTTTTGGGTTACTTATAAGCAAATAATATATTTTATGATAGCTGCCTCAAAAGTGCACTTTTCGAAATGGTTTAGTGTGCGTAAAGCGGTTGTTTTTCGCACGGCGTGCGTAGAGTTCACGAGCGCGCATAAAAACATTCACATTACCCCCACTGCGGTTCCGAACAGTGAACTCTGCAGGTACCGTAATAGTACATTTCGACACTAGGCCGTGAGGAACTTTTCTGCTTCATATGATTACAGAACTCGCCTCATATTCGCCAGAAAAGTTTCCACGGCCGTGTGTCGAACAATATTTTTTGTCATTAGGCCCGAAAATAGCGGTTCATCGGGCCTAGTGACGAAAAAAATAAGATGTCTTACACGTGCGTGTCGAAAAGTGGAACTTTACGCACTAGTAACACAATATACTATTTTTTCGGCGTGGTTACTGCGGCAGTAAGTCCGTGTTTCATAACAGCGATTTGAACTGGAGCGTTTCTTAAATTAAAAAAATTACAACGGTATTGTCACTTGGTTAAGCGACCGCACTGATAGAAAGTCATTGTTAACAAATCGATTTGGTTAAAGACTAGTGTCTATTCGGTCTCGCCAAAAGCTCATTCGTTAATAGTCAACGAATTTCGTTTGTAATAAATGAATCATTCTATCAGCGCGTCAGAGACCCCAAGAAAAACGGCATAAGAAATTAAATTGGCTTTTAACTTGCTCGAGAAAACGGAACAATATAATAACTGATATATGAGATATATAAATAATAATTACATATAATATATAATATAAACAAATAAAAATATCGAAAAAGATTAATACACTATCTGATAACTACGATGATCGTTCTATGAGAATTTCAAACCAAAGTCATAATTTTTTTTCACTGACGAAACGTATAAAGGGCTCTTGATGAATTCCTTTAAACCGTATACTTTCTTCTCATCTCCTTCACCACATTTCCCTGTAATCCAAAATCCTCACATCCACAACCAATAATTAAAGTGGACACAGCTCACAAATGAAACGCTCTCACAAATCCATTCCAAATAATGTCATAAAACAGTCTCAACGCATATTTTTCCCAGGGAAGATCATAACTAACATCTTTAAAAAATCTTGACTGTTAAAAAAGCCGGGCGATTGTCACTTGCTTGTTATATCCGGGATGAAAGGAATGCACATAAGGACGGCTATATAAAAAGAAGGTAATGGCAAAAAAATTATCAGCGGAGCGTGACGACGAGAAAAAAAACGACACAAGGACCGAGAGGTGAGGGCTGGAAGTGACTTGGTGACATTACAGCCCCGGTTGTGGGATATTTTTAAACCCCACTCGATTCATGGCCCGTGTTCTATTAAATACAAGGGAAAAAATAGAGGGGAACGAGTGGGAAGAATTAAAATAACATGAGAATTATTTAATTAATTAATTAGTTAATTAATTCTCGAAATTTTAGTAGTTTTCGTAATTCTTGTATTTCAGTCAGGCACACACATAAACACATCTATAATTAATTGAGTGAAGATGCAGTTATTTAAGGGAATCTGCTCGAAAAAAAATAATAGAAAACCTGGCGAATTTGCTAGACAATTTTGTTAGATTTCTATCGAACATTCTATTGGTTTTTAGCCGATTTTATTGAAATGTTTAATAGAAAATTTTGTACAGAAAAAGACAATAAAATTAGATTTTTCTACAAGACTTATTCTATTGAGATATTTTTTATAAAATTCAACGTTTTTTAAATTTTATTTTGCTCTTCTTTTCATCAAGAAAATTAAACAAAAAAACGTAGAAAATTCGAGCCGAGGAAAATCTCTCAATAGAATAAGTTGTATAAAAAAATCGAATTCTATTGACTTTCAATAAAAAATCATAGAAAGCCAAAAATTAATAGAAATTCCAATAGGAATCGAAGAGAATTGTCTAGAGAATTCGCCAGGTTTTTCTATAAAATTTTTCCATACGTCAAGGTGACAAAAAAAATTGAATTTTACATTAGTAATTTTCGAAAATAGCAGAGACACTTGACCAGATTTTTACAAAGTTCTTATTCACAATTTTGTATTCATTTATTCTTTTTTATCATTCGTCGTGGCCCAGTTACGACCTGGATTTATGAGTCAGTGCGTGAATGGCCTCTCGACAATTCAATACATCTTTTTCATCACGGTTCTGCTCGTTAAATATTCCTGACGACATTGAGAGTCAGATAAAAATTTGTTGTCCAATCGATTTACAAAAATACCGTTGGATATCGCACTTCCATTACTGGCTTCATCTTTCATGCATGAGCTCGACGTACACCGTCTTGAGATATCATCATTACATTCTAGGATATCCGGGAGTCGATATCTCTAGAGACGAATTTTCATTACATTCACTCGTGGATTTTTCTCATATATTTCTTAGGAAAATAACGCAGAAGTGTACGGAGATAATAGTCATGTTTATTCAGTTCCACACGCAACAACTCAGGAATTCCTGAGAATATTGAAGTGAAAATATTCGTGATGCAGGAGGAGATGATAATGCCCTCAGGGAGGTGGTGAAAATAGAACAGAAGAGAACAAATTGTCGATTATTCTCAGAGTATTTCCAGGAAGAAGGTTGCAACACAATTTAACTGAGGACTTTTTTTGAACGTATGTCGTGAGCTTCAAAGGTTTCCTGACACATTTTTTCTAAACGGGGAATTAAAAAAAAAACAATAGAAAAAAACATTGTATTGGATATTGTAATTAAATTTAGGAGAATTCTATGAAGAATTCATTTTGTTTTTTGCCGTGGAATTTTTGGAAAGATATTTTATGGAATAGAGGTTCTGTTGGGATTTTTCCGGTAAGAATGCCTTAGGTATAGATTTTCCAAGTTTTTTTCTGGAATATTGGAATGGGAAATAAAATAAAATACAAAGGGATTCCAATGGAAACTCAACAGCATGTCTGACCGAAAAAGATGAATCCACTTGCATCAGAATTTTTTCCAAGTCCCAAACCCCGGAAAATGATTTAATAGAATCAAATAAAACGATTCATGTAATAATAATTATATTGAAAATCAATGAACTCATATTTTGTTTCATTGAAAATATTTTAATTACGGGAAATGAATAATTTATTCAGTCCACATAAATCCTCTATTAAAATCATGCAAACGATTTGTTTTCATCGCCTGCTAAACAATAATGTCTTCATTTTAGTTTAAAAAACATTGGTTTATATTTAAAAAATTGTTATTTTATGGAAGTCAGAATGCAAATAAAAATCAAGTCTGAATTTGAATGAAGCTTTATTACGAGCTCTTTTGATAATGCAGTCATAAGGTTAAAAAATATAAAATATCATCAGAGGTTTAGCAGAAAGTTTCAGGAGAGAGGGATTGCATTCGATTTAGGTGGGAGAACATCATGAAATTTGTAATTTTACTGAAAATTCAATGAAATTAGACATTCTGGAGCAGCGGGAAGATGAGAATTTCCCGGTGTAGTGGAATGTTCGATAGAAAGATGACTATTCAGGAGCAAATTGCGCTGAATGTTCAATTTAGTGAAGAATTCTCGAATATATTTATCTGGATTTCCCTCAATTTTAATAATAATCTTGAAATAATGGGGCTGAAATGTGCTGTTCCACTGATTTTCCCATCAAATTATGAGTTTCTAATCACGAATTTCCCTTCACAGGGAAAAAAATTGAATTTTCAGGGACATGTCAATCTTCAGTGACACTCTCAGCAATTTTCAGAGCAATGTCACTAATTTTCAGGGACCCATCTCTAATTTTTAGGGGTCTATCACTAAATTTCAGTGATAAAAATCACCAATGGTCAGGCATAGGCAAAATCATTATGTAGAATTAGAATTATTGCATTACCTACCACATCAGTTAACTCTATTGCACAATCTATTAAATTTTCTAAATCAATCATTAATCATGTTTTTTCAAATTGTTAAATATTACACATCACTTGAACTTTCCAAATTTTCAACTATTTTATAAATGAGTATTGACCCCAAAGATTGACGAATATTTGATTAATCGAAAAAACAAATTCAGAAATTTACAATTGATTGTTGAATAATGACTGAAAATTAAAATTATTTCCAAATTTTAATAAAAATTAGTGAAATTTAAGGATATCCAAGTCCTTTGGCATTTTTTTCTTCATTGAAATGCTTTTCTACTTTTGTAGTCGAGCATCAGAGCTTTGATTTGAGCCCCATTCGACCCTAAGTTTCCGGACATTTTACAATGATTTTACTATTTAAATTTTGCAGATCTGAATTTTAATGTCGATATCGAATCATTAGAAAACATTTCAACAATCTGAAAAAAATTAGAAAGTTTTCTTTAGGATAACGATTGATGAAATAATGTAAAAATTCCTATTTTTTTAAAATTACGAGCATTTTCTATAAACAATTTGTAAACAATCAAGTTTCCGACATAAAAATCATCCTCACCAGCAGAACCAGGTTCAGAATGATAAAAAATTCGTTCATATTCAGAAATTTACGAGAAATCCATTTCATGCCTAAAAACATAAGAATTCAGAAAGTTTAAACAATTTCAATTATTTATTTATAAACAACGCATCTTAAAAAAACAATAATTCTATGCAAAATGTAATTTCAATGACGTTAAATATTCATGATTTTTTCCAAATTTTTCACGCACTTTGATTGACGAATTTGATAATGGAAAATGATAAAATATACTTGGATATCCGTAATTAATTAAAAATAAACTCCTTTTAATATCACCGAAGTAGTGATTTCTGCCGATTCTTGCTGATGAATCAGTCACTCTAGTCAGTGTTCACTACCTCTAATAATTACCGATGGATCCCTGAAATGAAGCGACATATCCCCGAGAATCAAAGCATTTTTTCTCCCTGTGCTCGAAATTTCAGTACCAAATTCCAGCCGGAGTCATTCAACAGTGTATTTGATTCGAATAAAGTTCACTTAACTCAAACAAACCACTCAGGATGCAAGCATTCAACAACTCACATGTTCACCTCCAATTTCCTCTCACCAAAACACCACTCAGGGGTCCCCAAATTTCCCACTCTCCCCAAACTAATCAGACACTCACGTGTCCACTTGAAACAGATCACCGGCACCCGAGACAACTGCATCCTCAACTCTCCTAATGTCTTGCGGCGAGTCATATTGTCGTCCGGGTGCCAGTAGCCATCCTCACGTCCTCACGAATTTATACACAACACCAAACACGAGAACGCTCACTAGCATGAGTACAACTGCGGTGACGACCTTTGCAAATGCATTCAAACCGCTTTCGGAGTGCTGCTGAGGACGTCTTGTTGGGACACTTTGTTTTGAAGCTAATCCGCGGGCTAATGCGGGAAAGGCCAGGCTCTGAGTGAACGTCAGCTTGTGGAGGGACTCGGATAGTGAGTAGGGACCCACCGAGCCACGGGCTGCTGCTCGCAGGAGTGCGTATTCCAAGTCCAGTGCGTCGAACACTGAGTATCTGCAGTTGGAGGAGTGAAATTAGATTATTCGGAGAGCTTTTGAGGGTTCACAATTTTTTTACAGACGAATTTCATTAATTCTTTTAGAACTCATTTTGGTGAGATTAAATGACGAATTTTAAGATTCCGAGGAAATTAAATTGAGTTGGGTTATTGGTGGGGAACTAATTTTGGGATAAGGAACTCTCCCTACACTGTTAGAAATTTTTTGAAATTTAAGTAACAGATGCATTTGAATTTTCAATATTCGGAACTTGAATTCAATTTCAGACTAAATTGCTCATGGAATTTCTGATTCATCTTGGAAATTCAATAAAATTAAGTTTTTGATTATGAATGATTGAATTTTCAATGACAATTTGGATTTTCAAACCTATCGCGAAAATTAAGCAACAGATGGAAAATTCAGAAGAAAAGTTTCCTGAATTTTCATGATTTTCAGTCATTTTCATTGTGGTATGAACCTGAGAACTGAAATTTCATTGGATATTCAAGAACATTGACTGATTTATCAATAACAAGATGAATGGAAATTCCATGTAAATTATTCGTTGTTAAAAATTTCAAGATTTCAATGACGGTCACATGACCCGTCATATGAAAAAAGTAATGTTTGACATGGGAATGTGTAGCGCTCGCCGAAGGCGAGTGCCACCGTCCCAGGAACACTTCTCCCACGAGTATTAAACCCTATTTTCATCACAATGTGTGGAAAGTGGTATTTATCGCACACGGCGCATGCGGAAAATTTTCCTTTGCGCACAAGAGTTAAATTTACTAATTTCATACTAAAATTACCTGCTACTGCGTCGCCTATCGTGAGACGAATGAACCGATGCAAGTGCTGAACTTGGCATAGACCTCAGACTGCTTGTCGTCGAGCTGGAGGGACTAGGTGGAGCGGGGGGCGGCTCCTCATCGATGGACGTTCTGTCTGGCGATGGCGGTGATCTCGATACCGCGTGGTGGTTGTGGTGCAGATGATGGAGGTGCAGGCGCGCGTGGTCCGGATGCAGCAGACTCGGACGACGCGACTGCTGAGGACTGGCCGCTGTGCTGGTGCAGGCCGCACCGCATGGCGATGGTGATGCCTTTTTCGGGGAGGCTCGATAATTATCGTCTCGCTGACACGAACAACGGCCGCGAGGGGCGGCTCAATAATTTACAGGGCTTGGGGTTCATGCGGTTATCGTGCTTTCATGCATTTTCGAAAATTGAAAAATTAGTTCAAAGCACTTTGATGAGGTTAATCTACTCGGGAAACTATTTTTGTGATAACAATTTCTAATCGCAGGGATAAAAACACGAATAGAACGCTTTATTGATAACACAGAGAGAGAAATATTCAAGAAAAATTACCAGAAAAAAGACGTAAAAATTACGTTTCCCAACGTAATCTGGGAGCGAAGTAAAAAGCGCTCGGGATTTTACTGCAGAGCTGATCCCGATCGTTGATAGGCAGGAAAACTTGAGGGAAATATCCGATGAATTTTGAAGGTCGAGGGGTATTCGGAGGACAATTTCTTCAATTCTGTACTGAGAGAAAAAATTATTCCTGCCAAGGATTGATATTCTCGTCAGAAGATAATATTTTTTCAGAACAAATTTTTCCAGGACAGTCATTTTCAGAGAGTCCAAATCTATCCTCAAAAATTACAGTGATGTTGAACAATCTTATTATTATGCTACATATGACCTTGACAAAATGTTCTCCGATATCTTCCGGATTTTACAAATTGGCGATTTTCTCAGGTAAAGAAAATTGGAATAATTCCAAATGTTAATAATTATTATTGGAGTTTCTTCGAGGTCATATGCAGAAGAATATTCTTATAGATCACCATAATTCTCACGCTTGGAACTGATTTCGGAGCACCTGGAAATGACTGGCCTGGAGAAATACGTTCCAAAAGAGATATTTTCTTCTACTAAGAGTATGAAAAAGATATCACCAATAACATTTTCTTGGAAGGAATAAATTTTTTTCTCAGTGTAATTTTGGCCGATCAGGATGCAGTGTTCGGGGTTACGGGACACTGCATCCTGATCAGTCTGATAATTTCCCTGCAGCCGGGGAAATTATCAGTGTGAAACGCATCACGTGACTCCGAATACTGCACTCTGATTGGTCAAAATCAGAATTGAGGAAATTGTCATTGCAATTTTATTCTACCACGATTCCATTTTTTCTAATTTTCTAATTTTTATGCATATCTCTGGACAAATTTTATTGTACATTCTTCTTCATGAATAAACATCGGACATTACCCCCGAGATAGAGTAGATTACCTCTCCCTTCCCCGCAACGAACAAAAAAAACGAAAATGATAATTTATTCAATTCATCAGCTCACAATCAGGCATTGAATTCCAAAAATACAAACATTCCTATAAAGTAAGTTTCCTACAAATAAAATTTGGAGTGACAGGGTGTTTGCGACTCATTTGAGATATTCATCGATTTCTCCACGATTGTCGCTATCAACAATTGCTTTCAGACGCATATTATAATCACGAAAGGTTTTTTTCTTTCCTAGGAGGGGACTCCACCTTCTGCCTGCGTGATGACAGGCTCGGTACCAGCTCGTTTCAACTTGGACAAATCAATCAGTTCCAATAATCACGTACCCGGAAATAAATCACACGAAAAATTCATGCAAAAGCTAGATAATCGGACGGAAAAAGTGTTTCCGGCATTTCTGTTTGACGTCAAGAAAAATCGTGAAGTAACAGATGAATTTTCTCCTATGTCATTTAATTTTTTACAAGCATATGAGAAAATTTATGCATTTTTCATGAAAAATGACGAGATATAACGCATTTGAATCGAATAAAACAGTTCATTCAAAATATTTCTATTAATTTCATGAATGTTTTTCATGTGAGTGATATGTAAATTTCACAACTTGCTAGAATTTTCAATAGAACATAAATATTCAGAAACAAAATGACATGAATTTTCAATTTTTCCCAGAAATGAAAAATTGAAAATTCATCTCAGTTTGAAAAATCAAATATTTTATTGATTTATTGATCAAATCATTTGCACCGAAAATTAATGGAATATTTGATTTTTCAATGAAAATATTTCCTGAAATTTCAGTGGAAATAAAACACGATAAAAATGTCCAGGATTTGGCACGGAAAATTCAGACGAAAATTTTCAACAGTGTATACATCCAGAAATTAATAAAAATAATGACTCTCTTAAAAAGTTGACAATCAAATATTTGCTTTGAATAGAAATAACAAAATCGCTTCAAATTCTCGTGTGGGTTTGAGTGAAGGGTTCCGTTATGCATGCATGCAGAAGCGTCAACATAATTTCCATAGAAACTGCACTAATTAAGACTAACTGACAGGGGAAAAAAGAGAATTGCAAAGATGAAACATCGAAATTGACGACATTAATTCTGATGAATTCTCTTACCTGGATTGATTCTATTCCACTATCATTGACACTGTCCGGGGCATCAGGGAAGATGAAAGCCTGCCCGTCAGCCTCACCTCTGGGTGAATCGCTGGGCCAGACCTGCAGTAGAGGCAGACCACTCGGTGGCTCCGTGCAGACAACATCAGCAGTGACAACCACCGGATTGTTGTGACTGCTCGTACCCAGGCACAGCCGGCTCAGCTCTCTCAACGGCTTCTGTTTCCATTAACGTGAATTATCAGCGTGACACATTGCATGTGAAACATTAAATTTTTTTACTTGAAGACATCAATAGTAAATAGTTGCGACATTATTACTGTGTGGCGATTTCTTCCAGAACGAAAAACCGTAAATTTTTTAGTTTTACAGAAGAAAAAATAGAATGGAAAATTCTGGGGAATTCTGTCTGGTTCGATTACCATTTTTTGAAATTCTATTGATTTTTTTCCGCTCTGTTTCACAAAAATATCCACGGAAGACTTAATAGGAGAAGATTATTAGATATCGATTTTTGTATATAATATATTTTGATGAGAATTTTTTTTAACTGTTGGGAATAAGTTTTTCAAATATTTTCCTTGATTTGAATTCTAATGCTAGATTTTGTTAGATTTTCAACAAAAAGTTGAAAAATCTACGTTTGCGCATTTTTTATGGATTTTATATGATTCATCACATTATTATTTAAGTTGATTAGAATCAATATGTTCTTTCACGTATACGAATTTCTATAGTATTACTAAGGAGAATTCGTAGAAAGCGATGAAAACTTCTATTGAAGATCCATGATTTTTTTTATTGCAAAGGGATGGAAATTTGCATCGAGAATCAATAGCAGACACGGCAAAAGTTATGAAAACATAACATGGAGGGCTTCAATGTAGGGGTTGCATTGAAAGCCAAGGATTTTCCATAGAAATCTGTCGTAACTTCTATTTAAAAACCTGGAAAAATTCGTCGAAATCCATGCAAACTTCGATTGAGAATCCGTTGGGAATCACCTACACCAACATTATCACCAAAATCAGTATCATCATCATCATGTATGTGATTTCTCTTTCACATTTATGAATATTTATGTGAGATCTCCTTTTTACATAAGAAAAATATAAATAGATAGAAATTGGATAGACAAGATTGGAAACCAATGAATTCCCCGATAATCCCTTGAATTTTTCAGTAAAAAGAACACTTTCAATTCTTTCCCCTGTTCATAACTCAAAAATAAAAACAGTGATTGATCAAATCAGTTGACCTTACACGTAAAAAAATATTATATCTCATTCAAAACCAAAATAAAAAACTCATTAACATAAATTAACCTTAATTAAACTTGAAAATGTGAATTAATTTATTGTTAGACAAGCGATGAAAATCTTAAAAGACGAATAATCCGGAGGCATCCCTGAACTTTCAAAACAAAGTTCCCCAGTAATTTATGATGATAATAAATTGTACAATGGATGTAAATAAATTGTAAAGTTTTCCGTAAACGTGTTTTCGCCAATAAGCTCGTTGCTCGAAAACTTGGGTAAAGTCAACAAGAATCGCCACAGGGTTTATGTATGTTTCCTCCTGGAAACGTGACCTCGATGTAAGGTCCATCCGCGACATTGAACTTCCACCTTCGAGCGGAACTGAAACTTCGGGGGAAAGCCATTCCGTTTCGAGGAACTTTTCTATTTGTATTATCGCCCATACAAAATCAGCAGGACTCGAGGCATGACACATGGGAAATCGACCAACTTGTGGAGAAGTTTGAGCACGAAAATGTTTGGATTCAAACGGTGTGAAAGGGCATTTCTATTTAGTCTAGAATCCTCTTTTTTTTCATTTGGGTAGAATAAGTAGGAAAATGCATCCAGGTCTCGTTTTGTCAAGAAATAAATTCGCGATTAACAATTATTTTCAAACAAACCGTTATAAACAACGAATTTTACAATATTTGAAAATTTTGCAACAATCTTACTGCAGAATGATTTTTACTCTAATGTTCGTTTTTCATCATTTTCAATAAATTTATTATTCCAACTTTGACCGTCTAAATTTAAACCTTCATTTTGATTCGTTAGAAATTTTTTCTTTCGACTTTCCGAACCTCTAAATGAGGGAAATAATTAAACAATGATCAGTGCACAAATTGAAAAATTCGGAGGCACACAAAATTTATGTCATTTTGTTTCTGAATATTCATGGTTCTCTGAAAATTCAATCAAGTTAGGAAATGTCCATCTGACTCCCACTGAAAATTCACGAATTTCCGTGAATTCTACTTAAAACTTGAAATTTCACAACCATTTTTTCCCTAAATGCGATTCAACGTCACTCTCATGAGATTTACTACAATATTTTCAGTAGTAATACCACTAGTGCTTCAAAATTATCGGATATTTTCCGATAGCTTCGTTGCCTAGGAACGATTGTGTCAAATTTTGCAGAAATAGA